AATGATTTGCAGGGGAATGGTCTTGGTGCAGTGATTGATCCAGTAGATGGGAAATTATCACTGGCTTTTGTGATCAGGATGGCCTATGATAAAAATGTTGCTTATATCTGTCCAGATTATTGTGGGGAATGTGGCCAAGAATGCATATGCAATGGAGAGAGTGTATGGCAGATAAGGTCAGTATTCCTGTCGGCACAAGCCACAGTACTGTTGTTGGTCCTGATAACTATCAGATCTTGCAAAAGGATATTGTTCAAGCAATGTTGATGAGTTTGATATGGAGTTTCTGATGCTCTGAAAATACATGAAGATGCCAACTGAAAAGAAGCAGATCAAGTTTGCTATGAAGTAGCTAGGTGAAGCTTGATACCTAGGCAGCCTACTAGATTTTTGAGACAGAAGTCCTGTCTATTTAAAAGTAGCCAGTGGAGACCAATTCTGAATTTCTACTTTAGATATGGAATCTCTCCCTATCAGATCATCTCTGTCATCTAGATTCAGAAGCTGAGAGGTGGTAGTGGGAGCAACTTCATTGGTGTCAAAGTCTGCATTCCCATGATGGAATCTTGAAGATGAACTTCAGATATCATTAAGGAATAGGCTGGCCTCAGACTTGAGCTAGCTGCACTTTGTCATTTTTTTTCCTTGGGTGCACCTGCAGGAGAAGCTGAGTTCCACTTTGACATCCATCTTGGTTTTCCAATCCATCTGCCCAGTGATCAGATGAACATCATCATTTGACTCATGTCACATGGCAGTTCCAGGGAAGCCATTCAAGGCTAAGGCTAATCTCAGGTAGTGTTGCGCCTTCTTTCATTTGTGACATGCTCATTACTCAGAACCAAGAAGGAAATGAAACCAACTGTATGTGCATGTCAGTGTTCTTGCAGTTAGCTGCTTTCAGGTCTGCTCCTAGAGCTCATGAGTCCAAAGCTTGATCCCCTTGAGCCTGTGTCATGAAAGCTTGACATATGGGTAAGATTTTATAAGTTCCTTTCTCAGGTACAGGAAGAGGCTGGGTCATCAAGTGAGGATTTTTCTCTCATAATTCCAGTATTTCCAGAACTGGGAAATTCTGGCTTTCAAAGCCATGCAGGTCCATGAAGATGACATATTAATTGCCAAAACAATATTCTGTTCATTCTTAAAAAAGAAAGAAACTGAATACCAAATAGAAAGAGGGAAGAAAACAAATACAGGAAAAAACTCAATACTTACAAGAAATGCAGATAGCATTTGAAATGTGAAGCTTAGAAGAAATTGAGAGAATTAGCCAGAGCTATACCTAGCAGTGTGCAACTCCTGGAATTGAAAGCTGCAACTCAGCCTCCTGATCTTCTGAAGATCCACCGACCTTCCAGTGAGATCCCCCAAGACTGGATTAAATTTTAGACCCTTTTTTGGGAGGGAGGGTGTTAGGATAGGAATGGGAGCAGGATGATTCTGGAAAGCATACTGCTATCATTTCCACCCTAAAACTTCCCCCAAGTCCTCAAACAGCTGAATTTGTGCCAGTAAAATTCTGTCATTTTTGTCATTGAATTCTGGCAGTATAATCTCAGGTTGTGGGGGTGGCTGCATGTGCATAATCACAAAGACCAAGCTGAAGAACTTTAGTAATGCATTTGCACTGAATCTCTGTAAAGACAAGTGTAGCTAGATGCTAACATTAAGAGAAAGGATAACATTTCAAATTTTATGACATTTTCAATGGATTGGCATTTTGGAAGAGTTTAGAAAAGAAACCGCTAATGTCTCAGAATTGTGCAGACATTTAAGGTACCATACATATCTGAATTCCTTTTTGGTCCTAATGAAAAATGTTCAGTATGAAGTAATAGTGGTGAGCTTGTATCGTGTTCCCATAAGGAAAAGTATTTTCTCTTTTATTGAATAGGTGGGCTTATTTGCATTCATTTAGTTTACTTTGCATTCACTGCAGATAAGAGACTTAATATATGAGGCCCACCCAGCATGGGAAACCTCTACTGGCAGCAGTTTCCTGGTCTCCATCCTCTATACCATTATTGTTAACTTTGATCCTAAAGAGCTTGCATACTAATTGGGACCAGCGCTACCAACAGAAGTATGGGAGACTTCGCCAGCCTATTTTTCAATGTAACTCCTTCGTATTTGTGAGATGAGAAAAATCAGCTTTAGTAATGGAGATACTGCTTTAGGGGCATCTCCATTTATGTCTGCTCCTAGTCTTCACCTCATTTTTGGGATAGGCAAATGGTTGATTAATGATAAGCTAAACCTTTATGCTAGATTCACATGATATATGGAGCCACATTTGACCAGGTGAGCCAAAAACAAGCAGTGGCCACAGATTATGATTAATATGCTTAGTCTTAATCAGAGTATCAACTGTAGGCCAGGTTCCAACATTATCCTAAGCCAGCTACAGTATAACTTGGCATATTTTGTGAATGGACATCAGATATGATACAGCTAATCACTATATTTGTTCTTTAACCTATCTTATAACAGACTGTAGTTTCAGAAATATTGACCTAGAACAGATGTTGAAAAAACACTTCCTGTAACGTAAGCATTCATTACCATGCTATTACTAAAAAATGAAATACAAAAGATATTATATGTAGTCTGTCTGTGTTGACATATAAAGTGTTTTATGCCATGTGACAGGAATCTAAAAAGTGACAATCATTTGTATTAATAAATAATGTGAAACAGTGTAGATGAAAACAGTCTTCTCCATTCTCTCAGCCTAGAGTTTTATGAAACTCAAAAGCTTCCACTGCATCCTGGGAATTTTTGGGGGGAGAGGGCAGGATTTAATTTCTTAAAAGAAATATTCTTGCATCAGTGAAACCTGGCCAGTCAACAAGATGGCCACCTTTCAATCAACTCAAAAGCTAAAAGACATCCTCGGCCACAACGGAGAAAAAAATACTATATTTTAATGGCAGGGCAGAACATTTCTACCTTGGTAATAAAAGGCTCAAACAGATCTGTAACATTTACATAGGTTTATAATCCAATTCTAGCACAGAATACAGTACTTACCAACATGAGATGCAACTAGATTACTGTGTAGAATGCATGCTGAGTGCTAAAATTGGGCCTGCATGTATTTTTTTAACATAAAAATATAAATTATTCTTTTATATGAATGCATATATATATGCAGTTTCCACAGTATTTTTTCCCCAAAAGGAAGAGGAAAATGCTTGTTTTAACAACAACAACAAAATAGAGACACTCATAAAGAAAGGACTTTTTCTTGTAAATTTATAAGGCAAACGTTTTATATAATAAATAGGATACAAGGGTAGGGAGGGGTTTTGGTGGATTTCTTTTAAACATATACATGTACATTCAGACGGATTTTGTTATTTTCTTACTGAAATTATACAAATTTTCCTTTATTAAATTTCTTTTTTTCTTTTTTTTAAATATAGTCAGTGCTTTCAGTCTTTTATTTATTTATTTATTTTTTGGCTGTAGACAAAACCTACAAAAAGAGCAATCAATTTTTAAGTTTTATTAAACAATCTACTCAGAATTCTTAAAAGTAATTGTCCCAAAAACCCATCAAACAAATGCGAAGTGTGGTCAGGAAATATGGGTGAGGGTATACAATGAAGTATATTTTTTTCAAATTCTTCAAAAGAGCCAAGAAAGCTCTCTTTAATCTCAGTGGAAAGTTCCTTGATATTTATTTTCCTAAAATTAGAGATTTAGTGTGGAGGGATCATTCTTATGGATCAATAGTAATTTCTTGGCATTAAAAATATTAGTGGGGTGATCCTTAGAACACATACAGCCCAACTAAGAGAGTGCTAACTATGGATTTTGGAGAGATTCAATGCATTCTTTAATACACTTATGATGCTAGATCCTCCTGATTTGCTATTTTATTCCTCCTCCCCTAATAAGTGTTCAATGAAGGAATCTACAGCACCACCTCGTTTTTTTTCCTATATTGCTTTCTGGTGGTAGATTATTAAAAATATAAGTTTTATGATGCAAGTTCCTCCTGGATTTCGTTTGTTTTTACCATTGCATTCCAGCCAAATGAATGTTTCAATGAAGGAATCTAAGCATATTCTAATTTCTTTGCTACACTGACTTCTGGTAGTAGATTATTAGAAATTGAAGCATACAAAATACCCTGGGAAGTTGTTAAAAAAAATTTACCTAAACTACCCTTTTCTCCCTACTGCCAATAGTAAGACAAAAATAAAAGTATATACCTTTCCTCCCTTTTAAAATATATACATATATTTGACACACTCACATTTGAAGCATTTGGGCCTGGAACAATTACTTTATAGAAATGTTCACGATACATACTCGTGGACCATTAAAATAAACACACACACACACACACACACAAAAGGTTTTCATTGACATTCCTTTTTTTCAGGGTGGGGAGATAAAACCCTACACACAATGAGAGTCTCAAACACCACAGTTCTTTTCTGTCCCATCCCCCCTCCCAGAAAAAAAAAAACACTATTTGAAAGAAAATGAAGAAAACAACCCACATCAACACCCATCCCCCCC